CTTGAAGTCAGGAAGACTGATGCCTCCCAGTTTGTTTCTTATTTAAAGAATCCTTTGGCTATATGAGGTTTTTTTCTGCGTTCCATACAAAGTAGAGAATTATGTTTTCTTAGGTCTGTAAGAATGCTGATGGTATTTTGGATGGGGATTGCATTGATTCTATAGAACACTTTAGTAATATTGACCATTAACTTATATTGATTAACCAATCCATGAACAAGGTAGCTTATTCCATCTGTTTAAATCTTCTGCAATTTCTTTTTACTGTTTCGTAGTTCTCCTTGTATAAATCCTTTTGTATCTTTCATTTAAGTATACTCCGTAAGATATTTAATTTTCTTTGGGTATAGTAAAAGGTATTGTGTTTTTGATTTGAGTTTCTGCTTGATGTTCTTGGCATATATGAATGCTTCTGATTTGTGTATATTGATTTTATAACCTGAAATTTTACCAATTCAGGTTATCAAAGTCTAGGAGCCTCTTGAAGAGTCCATGGGTTTTCTAGTATAAATCATATCATTGGCAAAGCGAGAGTTTGATTTCATCTGCCCCACTGAATGCCCTTAATACCCCTCCTGCCTCCTGTTGCTATTGTAGGAATTCCACACACTATATTGAATAGGAGAAGAGATAGTGGGCATCCTTGTCTAGTTCCAGATTGAAGGGGGAAAGATTTCGATTTTTCCCTGTTTAGAATGATATTATCAGGGGGTTTGTCATGGATGGATTTGATAAGTTTAAGGTATGAGCCATCTATGCTTATTTGCCTATTTCGATAAGAGTTTTTATCATAAAGTTGTGTTGGAATTTGTCAAATGCTTTTTCTGCATCTATTGACAGAATCATATGGTCTTTGTCTTGATTTATTTATGAAGGTGAATGCCATTTATAGACTTGCGTATGTCGAATCATCCTTGCATTTCTGGAATAAAGCCCACCTGGTCATGGTGAATTATTTTTTTGTTATGTGCTACTGAATCTATTTGCTAAAATTGTATTTAGGATTTTTGCACCTGTCTTCATGAGGGATATTGGTCTGTAATTTTCTTTTTTTGTTGCATCCATTCCTGGCTTTGGTATTAAGGTGATATTGGCTTCATAGAATGAGTCAAGAAGGATACCATCTTTCTCAATGGTGTGGAATAGTTTCTGTAGTATAGGTATGAGTTCATCTTTGTATGTTTGGTAGAACTCTGAAGTGCAGCCACTGGCCTGGAACTTTTCCGTTTGGGGAGTTTTTAATTACTACTACAATTTCTGACGTTGGAGATTGGCTGTCAGGAATTCTGTTACCACCTGTTTGAATATGAGGAGAGGTTGTATGAGATGGAATTTGCCATTTTCTCTCGTTATGTAGTTTGGCAAGTTTTTGAAGAGGAGAGAGTATTAATTTGTATTGCTGGGTGTCTTGGTGTGATCTCTCCTTTTCATGTTCTTATTGAGTTTATTAGAGTCCTTTCTCTTTGAGTCCTTGTCAATCTAGAGAGAGGTTGATTTTGTTTATCTTTGTGAAAAACCAGCTCTGGTTTTGTTGTCTTTAGTATAGTTCTCTTGTTCTCCATTTCATTCAGTTCTGCTTTGATCTTCGTTATTCTTTTCTTCTATTAGATTGGAATTGTTTCTCTTCTTTTCTCAATTCTTGAGCTTATTCATTAAGTTGTCATACAAGCTTTCAAAAAATTAAAAAGAAACAATGGTGATATAGCACCTCTTGTATATGCCTGGATAGAGCTGGAACCCATTCTATTAAGTAAAGTATCCCAAGAATGGAAAAATAAACACCACATGTACTCACCAGCAAATTGGTATTAACTGATCAACACATAAGTGGACATATATGAATAACATCTATTGGGTGACGGGCACGTGTGTAGGGAATGGGTATATATATATACATAATGAATATGATGCACACCAACTGGGGTGATGGTCACGTTTGAAGCTCTGAATCAAGGGGGGAGAGAGGGCAAGGGAAATATACGTAACCTTAACATTTGTACCCCTATAATATGCTGGAAAAAATAAAATTAAATAAATAATAAAAAACAAAAAAATCTAATAAAAATGTATTACTAAAATTAATTTAGTAATTTTTATTACTAAAATCTAACATTAAGAACAGTCTCTCAAATTGAGCAGATCTAAGTTTGAACAAGTTATTTTGGGGCAATATATCCAACCTTCACAAAACCTTACTTGATAAGGTTTTGGAGACGATTATATGAAACAATTCTCCTAAATGTTGGGCATAGTGTCTGGCACATGGTGACTATTCAATAAATAGCAGATTTTGTTTTTGTAGTTTTAAGTGTTTTTTAAACAATAGATAAAAAGACAATTTGGTGACTATTAAAAATTGTTACTCATTCATGCTAAAATTTAAGGAATTGAGTAGAGTATTGCTCTACACCTGGGGTGCATGCTCTCCTGTACTAAGTCTTTTCTGCTGCACTGCATGAAATTACAATAATGAAGTTAACAATAGATCACTGAAGAGGTCAGGTGAACTTTAATGACCTGGAAATATCTACTTAGAGCTATTCTTTGTTTGGGTATAAATAGGGTGTTAAATCATCTCACTTCATTTTTCTAAATCTTTCAATGGCTTTCCTTCATGCAAATCATAGTCTATAAAATGGTTTACAAATTCTTGTTCAATCTGGCTCCCTGTTACCTCTCTGCTTTCATCTCCACCTGGTCTGCATGTGTGCACTCTGCACGCAGACTCTCTCCACAATAGACGGCATGTGCGTCATTCAAGGTTTTGTACTTGCTGCTGGTCCAATTTCCTGGAAGGTTCTTTCAAGAGACATGCTTTGTCCTCACTTCTTTCAGGTCTGATGCCACACGCATTTTCTCAGAGAGGCCTTCCATAATTATTTTGTTTGATATGGTTACCAACTCTTCCCAAAGGCTAAATTCATTTCCATTTTAATTTTTTTTAGATAGAGCTCACTCTGTTGCCCCATCTAGAGTGCTTGGCGTCAGCCTAGCTCACAGCAACCTCAAACTCATGGGCTCAAGCGATTCTCCTGCCTCAGCCTCTCCAGTAGCTGGGACTATATGTGTGTGCCACCACACCTGGCTAATTTTTCTACTATTAGAAAAGACTGGGTCTTGCTCTTTCTTAGGCTCGTCTCAAACTCCTGAGCTTAAGCTATCCTCCTTCCCCTACCTCTCAAAGTGCTAGGATTATAAGGGTGACCCAGCGCACCCAGCCTAAATTCTTTCTTGATAGCACCAGCACCATCTAATCTTTTATACATATTTAGTTATTTATTTACTTTATTGATTGTATGCCTCCATGGTAATATAAACTCTACGAAGCAAAAACATCTTCTCTATTTTATTCACTGCTGTATTTTCAGCATACTTGGCACATAGTAAGTGCTTATTTTTGAATGAATGAATAAACTCTAGAAGCATTTGCAAACACATTATCCACTTTTCTAGCAGACCAAATCCTTGGCCATTTGGACATAAACAAATTTAAAGTTATCACGCACATCTCTCTTTCTGGTTTTGCTGCTGCTTTAGATACAATCACTGTGCCACACAGTCACCACAGCCTGCACATCTTAGACAGAGTCCAGTAGTGGTTTCACAGCCATCGTAATACCAGATCAGTGCTCTGTAGTGATATATTTTGCTCTGGCTTTATTTTATTATTTTTCTTTTAGATTTACTTTTAAGGTGATATTCTGTATGATAATGGTTACAACCCAAGTAGACAAATTTTCTGGATACAATGATTTGGGATTGTAGGTAGTAGCATTTGGGGAAATTCTACCTCTCTGTATGTTCATTTTCTGACACCTTTCAAAACCCAACCCCACATACTTTTGCTAGATCTGAATAGAGCGAAAAAAAACTGGCCTTACTCCATTTAAAAAGAAAGAATAAGTGGCTCAACCTAATCCTCCCTGTAGTTATCAAAATGCTTCAATTTTCTCTGACCACTATATGAAGATTATAGTGAAAATTTTTTGAAAACCCTAACACTTTATTCCTGACCAAAAACTTTGATAATTTGAAAGTTTTAAATATGTAACAAACAGCCCTAAAAAGTACAACTCACGTACTTGGCACAATATGGAATGAATATAAGATTGGAAAATAATTGTATTAAATAATGTTATCAATGTCAGTAAATTCAGTTAGATTTCAGGAGGAAATACTATGTCATAATAATTTCATACTTATTTTCTGCCTCAGTCTCTGGCCTCTTATTCATCCCCAAGCCATACTATTTATCACATATTAGCTCACATGGTGTTCCCCATTCCTTTGACTCAGAATACTAACTCCTCTGACACACAGAAAAGTGCCAATTTCAACAAATTTTAAATAGATTCATCACTGAGATGGTCCAGTTTCTTATCTCCTCCTTTAAAAAAAAATTTTAACTTTTAATTCTAGGTAGACAATAGTTGTATATATCTCCTTCTAAACCGTGATACTTTTCAAATTAGAAACTATCAGGTTGTAATTATATTCAAGTCTTTGATCTTGAATATGATTTCTCCCAGGAAATTTCCCGCTCCCTTTGGAGAGCAGAGGACGCTAATCATGAAGTCTACATTTTGTATTCTGAAATGAATCTTATGGATTCAAATACGCTGGAATTTAATCATAGTATTGATATTTTGTGGTAGGATTTGGAATAAAGTAAGTTGCTATTATAGCAAATTTGCAATGTGTCTCTTAAAATATCCTTTCATTTATACAAAATGTTTATTCTTTGGAGTCTTTTAACCAAGGCTCATTAAGAGAAGTGATGTTTCCTTTCCATGCTGACTATCTTGATAAAAAATAAATTCATGAGATTTTTACTTTTCCTCCAGTTGTGATTATCCACAGGCATGCTACATTACACCTATGAAACATTAATATGGAATTGCTGCTTGTCTTCAAAGCAATGATTTAAAACCATACACATAAGAGGAAAATCTAATTTTGGAAGATATACAAATGTGAAAAGGAAAATTAAAGCCACTTACCCTGAGGAAAAGATGAGGGTGATGAGCTTTCAGGGCCTGAATCTCTGGATACTGTTAAATCAGCATATATCACTCGTCTGTCCATTGCAGACAGGAGAAGGTGACATTAAACTTGTGTATAAGAACAAACCCTTAATTCTATGAGACAAAATCAGCGAAAGGAAGTGTCCTGCCTGAAATGCTTTGTTTTCTGTCTTTTGTCCCCACCCGCCCACACTTCTAGTTGTGGGGTTTCTCCACCAATTATCGAGATGATCAACTTATTGTGTGTCTATTATACTTTGATATGTAATATCTATTTTTCTCAATTGATCGGTTTTTGACAAAATTCTGGAAGGGCTTGTTTGCTCTTGTTCCTCTGACTATCTCATCTGAGCTTCTATCTTAGGAACAGGATCAGGGTGAGACAAATGAAGCACTCACATAGTGTTCACATTTAAGAGGGCCCCCTAAAACTGAGTAATTAAAATAAGTAATATTTAATACAATATTGATAAAATTAATATTGATAAAATTAAAATTAATGCAAAAAAGTCCATGATGCTATTCAAAACCTCTAAAATCGTGCTGATATACCTGTGCTCCAGAGAAAGTTATAAAATGTGAAAAATGGGAGTATAAATGTGGGAAAGGCCACTGACTTATACAACTGAAAAAACAATGAGCTAAAGATATATAGACTACTCTTAGCTTAGTTCTGTAGGTACTCGTAGATATAATAGAATCTCCACAAAATTAAAAGAAATTTAAGTCTGCCAGAATTATGAAAAATGAAAGTGTTAGAATTTCCTATTTCTTTTAAGGATTTTCAGTAGAACCTTCAAGCAAGACCTCAGATGCCATCAAGTCTGAGATCCTCACATTATACATGAAAAAAAAGCAAAATCAGGAACTTCCTAAAAGTCACATTCTATGATTGGACTATAGTACCAGGTGCTCAAAATTCCTTGACAGTGGAAGCAGTCTCTTGGCTGTTTTAGTTTTTTTTCTTACTTCTTTTTTTGAATTTGAGACAGGGTCTTTCTCTGTTGCCCAGGATAGAGTACAGTCGCATGATCATAACTTACTGCACCTCCTGGGCTCAAGGGTTCCTCCCGCCTCAGCCTCCTGAGCAGCTGGGACTACAGGCATGCATCATCACACCTAGCTAATTTTTGTATTTTGTTGCAGAGACAAGGTCTTGCTCAGGCTGGTCTTGAACTCCTCAAGCTATCCTTCTGCTTTGGCCTCCCAAAGTGCTAGGATTACAGGAATGAGCCATGGTGCCTGATCAGTCTCCTGGCTGTGAACCCAGAAAATAGGAAGTACATATTCATGGAAGAAAATTTACATTTTCATGTGTTTGTCATGGGAGCACACACTTATTCCCTAAAGATCACTGATAATTATGAAATGAGATGGATCCATCTGTGAGAGCTTCACAATCCACTATTTAGCAATTGAATTGAACTATTCTCCAACTATTTATTAGATAGTTAGCAGTCATTTTATTAGTGCTAGGATATTTGGTTCTGCCACATACCTTATTTAAATTTTTAGGATACAGACACCTACCAGAATTATAAAACAGTAACCTGGATCATCTAAACAGAATAATTCTATATACTTGTAGAACTACTCTAGAGCTTTCATATATGTAGGCTTTAATGAACATAAGGATCTGAAGCTTTAGTATACTTAACAATCATTTGAAAATGTGTTAATAATGCAGATTCCTGCAACATAAACCTCCAAAAACACAGTTAGCTTGAGGTGAAGAATGTCCTAAAAATCATTCCAGGTATTTCATGTGGTTCATGGACTGCATTAGAACAATTTGTAGTGAGTGAAAAGTGTGGAGATATCTTGGAAAGGTCAATGGAATAAATAGAAGTCTGATGATGTAATCAGGGGATTAAAAGAGTGCTTTACTGCCCTGAAGTTTAACTTCAAGTTCTGAAGCATGACTGTGACTGCTAGGAATCCATAATGGCCACATCAAAAATAATTAATTTAAGGTAAGATATTTCCTTCAAACAGATGCTTGCAAAATCCTATAAGCTGGAAAAGTATAAACTAGCTATAAATATCAACCAAAGAAGAGTCTTCACTTGTTTATATGTGCACAAAATATATTTATAGATCATTTTGCTTATATGAAGTATGGAGAGCAACAACCAACCACCTGAACAATTATCTTTTATCACAAAAGATCCTTATTATACAATCATTTTTGTGTGTGTATATGTATATATATATATGTGTGTGTGTGTTTGTGTATATATATATATATATATATATATATATATATCAAGAAAGTACACATTTGAAGAATTTTTATAGTTGTGCTAATGTATTCATTTGATCATCTAATCACCTAAATGACACCTGTCAGAATTCAGGAATAATATATCACTAAAAAATGGAGAGAGAGAGAGATTGCACACACACACACACAGTATAACATTAAAGCTAAAAATGTCAAAGAGTGAATGATTATAAGTAACTCTGAGATTTAGAATATAGAATAGTAGTGGTAATATTGAGTAGGTAAGGGTACAATAAAGACAGGTTCTTAACTAGATCACCTATTGTTGACATTGAGCTTTGCCAGGTGAATAGTAGGAGTTGAGGTAGATAAGAAAATACAGTACAATAAAAACAGTCTTACTCTTAAACATGAGGAAGCACAATAGAGGCCAGAAGATGGCTAAAAAAAGATGTGATAAGAGAATAACTTTGTGAACAAAGGTCAAAATACAAGAATCAGCAAGTACTAATCATGAGCTAAGAGAATCCACTCCAACTTTTAAAAAAGGCTGACATCAGCAAAATGGTAGAGTAGGAAACTAGAGGACCTGCTTCTTGCATGACACATTGCATTAAAAAATTACAGACCAGAATACCTCTGTGAACACTCTAGAGACTAGTTGGGAAGCTGTAGCACCAGCTCATTGTAAAACCAGAAGGAATCACAAAGGAAGGGGTAGCAAAATTTGTGACATTTGGCATGCTCATTCATGTCCTTTCTCTATGCATCATACTGCAAAGCAAGCAGGAGGAAACTGTCCACATAAGGGCTCCTCCCTCCTCATGGAAATAAAAGAGTGGACTGTGTATCCAATGTTCTGACTTGTCTGGGGATTGCCTGAGGAAATGGTTTCTGTCTTGCCTGCCTCAGACTGGTGAGGGGACTTGTGGCACAGTTTGGAAGCTACTGAAAGCAGAGGCAAGGAGAACATCAGAATTGCAGTTTCATTGGCAGACACTAAGGAGAGCAGGACATGAGAAAAGATTTGAGAGGTCTCATTACCTCAAACTGGGTTGTTTGGTGAAAATTTTCCCTCATAAGGAAAGCATGCAAAGGCTAGGACAGGTCATTGTCTTTTCAAATGCCCAAATCCCAGAAAAAAATATTCCAAGGCATACAAAGTAACAGAGAAACATGGCCCAATCAAAAGAACAAAATAAAACCTACTGTCAAGCAACAAAGACCTATGAGTTGCTTGGCAAAAAAAATTAAATATTGTCACAAAGATGCTTAATAAACTAAAAAAGAACACAGAGAACTACAGGAAATTTTACAAATGAGGCATGAGCAAAATGAAGTTATATAAAAAAGACAGAAACCATTAAACCAATAAACAAATCTTGAGTGAAAAATACAATAACTAAACTGAAAAGCTTATTAGAATGATCAAAAGAAGGCTTAATCAAGCAGTAAAAAGAATCAGTGAACTTGAAAACAGGCCTTTTGAAATATCATTGAATCAGAGGAGCAAAAATTTTAAAAATGGAGAAAAGCAAAGATAGCCTAAGGGACTTGTCAGGCCCCATCAGACAGACCAATGTAGACACTCTGGAAATCTCAGAAAGACATGAGAGAAAGAAAGAGGCAGAGAATTTATGTAAAGGAAAAATCCCCCAAACTTCCTAAATCTGAGGAAAGAAATGAATATACAGATTCAACAACCTAAAAGAACTCCAACTACAATAAATCTAAAGAGAATCACATCAAGATGCATTATAACTAAATTATCTGAAATCAGGGACTTTTAAGTAAGAACCTTGAAAACAACAAAATAAAAGTGATTCATCATATGAAATGAAGTTCTTAAAATAATTGGTGGATTTCTCAGCAGAAATCTTGCAGGCCAGAAGAGAGTAGGCTGATGTAAAGTGCTGAACAAACTGTCAAACAATAATACTGTATCTAGCAAAACTATCTTTCAAAAATGAACATGAAATTAAAACTTTCCCAGATACAAAAAAAGCTAAGGGAGTTCATTATCATCAGATGTGGTCTACAAGGAATGGTAAAGTTGCAATAAAGGACAGTAGACTGCAAAATATAGCTGTAAGAAAATACAAAGTTCTTCAACAAAGGTAAATATAGGAACACATATGTTAATCCTTACTTTTGTAATTTTGTTGCATAGATTTTAAGTGATAAAGCATATAGCAAAAAAGTATAATTTTATGTTAATGTGTATCCAATATATAAGGATATAATTTGTGACATCAATAACATAATGTATTGGTGGAATAGAGCTACAAAGTAGAGTGTTTGCATATGATTGAAATTGTTATCTGTTTAAAATAGAATGCTATAACATTAAGATACTTTAAGTAATTACAATGGTGAGCAAAAAGGAAATATGAATAGAATATAGAAAAAAGGAAATAAGAAGAGAAAGTATATAATTATCCCCCAAATCAATGAAATACAAAGGAAGTCAGTAAGAGAAGAAATGAGGAACACATAAAAGATATAAAAAAATAACAAAATGGTAAAGCAAATCTTTCCTTATCTAAGAATGAACATAGGCTAAAAATAAGGAAAAGTGTAAATATATTTTATGCCAATAGTAACCAGAGGAGAGTAAGGGTGACTACACTAATATCATAAAAAATAGACTTTAAGTTAAAAACTGCTACAAGAGAAAAAGAAGGACATCATATAGTGCAAAAAGGGTCAAGTCACCAATAACAATTATGAATATTTATGCACCAAACCTAAGAGCTTCTAAATATAAAAATAAGCTTTCAAAGAATTAAAGGGAGAAATGGACAACAACAAAATAATAGGAGGAGACTTTAATACCCTACATTTAATAGTTGACAGAGGAGCCAAACAGAAGGTCAGTAGGGAAACTG